TGACAGCAGCACCAGCACCCCCAGGAGCTCCAGGACCCCCAGCAGCTCCAGAACCACCAGCTCCAGCACCTCCAGGACCAACTCCACTAGTAGCACCCCCAGAAGCGGCACCCCCAGTCCCAGGGTCTCCAGCAGCAGAACCCTCACGCAAAGCTCCTCCAGCCCCGGCAGCTCCAGTCCCACCAGGACGAGCACCTCCAGGACCAGGGGAAGGAACCCCAACACCTTTAGAAGCAGAGCCTCGAGCTCCAGCAGCGCGACCCTGACGGCGCCCGAACCAGTCGTGCAGCTGCTGCGAGGTAAGAGGTACACGCGGACGAAGGCGGTCGCTCCACGGGGACCGCGTCCCAGCAGGCGCAGTAGTCGCAGGCGGCGCACCTCCAGGCTCAGCTCCCCCAGTCTCCACACACACAGGCACGTCACCCCCAGTCACAGCACCCTCAGGCGTAGTACCACCAGGCTCCTGACTCGCAGGCGCAGCACCTCCAGGCACCCCACACTCACGCTCCGCACCCCCAGGCTCAGCACCTCCAGGCACCTCACGCTCACGCTCTGCACCCCCAGGCTCAGTACCTCCAGGCTCCGCACCCCCAGGCTCCGCACCCCTAGGCTCCGCACCCCGAGGACCAGCACCCACAGAGCCAACTACACCTCCAGCAGGACCAGAGTCACCAGTGACCTCAACAGGCGCAGGTACGGACGGGACCGCCGGGCATGGAAGCACAGTCGTGGCACGTGCAAGCACTGGGCCCCCAGAGGGGTCAGCCAGCGAGACAGGAACAGGTGCAGGGAGGGGGGTGACTGCGGTGCTGTCGCGAAAGAAACAGCGAGAAGCACCAGAGTCAAGTGTAAACGTGTGCAAAGCCTGTGCGGACGCAGTACCAGAGGGGTCAGACGCACGAGCACCTAGGGCTGTTGTCTCTATACCTGGGTCAGGCGGAACGCACAAGTAGCAGTCACCCTCAGCACTAACAGTCAATGCATACATGGCAGCAAGGATTGCATCATAGTCAAGATCATAGACATTGACATCACGCCTAAGCAGATCAGCCCAGTTGGGGAACTCAGTGGCATCAGGGAACTTGGCGCGCCAGGCGTCGCTGAGGCGCGCAAAGCAACGGGACTCAGGGTGAAGGCCGTTGCACGTGCGGCCCTTGCGAGGGCCAGTGAGAATGACATAGGGGCAGCGACCAGAACCCCCAGACGCCCCACGCCCAGCATGAAGCTGCTGAGAGGAGGGGGTCTGGCGCTGCTGCTGCTGCTGCGGCTGCTGCTGCTGCTGCTGTTGGCCGGTCCCACTCCCGCCTCCACCCCCACCCCCACCACCACCGCCTCCTCCCCCCTTGCCGCCGCTGCCACCTCCACCACCCCCACGACCACCTCCACCTCCCTCACCACCCCCACCGCCCCCACCACCGCTCCCCCCACCCCCACCCCTGCCACCCCTGCCCCCTTTGCCGCCCCTGCCCCCGCCGCGCTTCCCACCAGAAACGGAAGCAGCTGCGACCCTCTCAGCACCAGGAGGGTCAACGGGAGTAGCAACCGAGGCGTACGAGGGGGTGAGGGGGGAGGGGGAGCACCCCTCAAAGAGGGGAGTGCGGGGAGTGCCTCGAGCGGCACCGACAGCTAGAAGATTCTTCTCTGCTGTGAGAAGCTGCCGCTCGAAGTCGTCTAGGGTGATCTCGGGGGCGTCAATGGTGAGGAAGTGGTCCCTGACTGTGCTAAGGGTGTCAGGGAGGCGGGTGACGAGGAGGTAGAGGGTAAAGTAGAGCGGAGGGGGGTTCTTGGCATGGAACTCGTCCTTAAGAGCGGCGTTAAAGCGGGCCTCACTATCGCGAAGGTGAGTAATCAAGTCCGCAGCAGTGGGGAAGGAGGACAGGTCAGGGAACAGGTAGGGCAGGATGAGGCCTCCTACAGCGGCAGTGGCTGGGGAGGAGTAGCGTGCAACTACTGCGTCATAAAGTGCCTTGGCAGTTTTGTGCTGACTGAAATGCGCGCGCTCAGCGATCGGCAGATGGTTGCGGATAGCAAGGCGCGCAGCAGCATCGCGAGTCAGCCACTGTGAGCGGTCTACAGCAGGAGCACTGTCAGCAGGAGCAGCAGGAGCACTGTCAGCAGGAGCACTGTCAGCTATTGGCTACCCCACTACAGCCTACAAACATATAACACATTTATACTTTGACAAGTTTCAGTTCAGCTAAGCTAGACTGAACTAAACTCGAAAGAGGCAGGGGAATTTGGATGCTGCTCGTAGAAACGGCTTAGAAAACGAAACGAAAACGCTGCTTCTGCTCAACGTTTGCAGACAGTCTCAGCTTCTGTTGACGTCGGCGATACTTCGTCTATAAGCCAATTGACGACTAGCGATTATCGGCGTTTGATGCTTCTGCTGGACTATGAGCAAACTGGGGCCTCGAATCTGCTGCCGTTTCAGTGGAGCTCGTGTTGGTTTCTTTGCAGTGGGGAACCCGTAACGACTAGTTCTCATGTTCAGCTTAGTTGGTACTACAGGGAACGATTTCCCGCCTTATGAATCTGGTTGTTTATGGCGAAGGACAATTTCGCGCTCATCGGCGAAGTCGGCTTTCCCGCCGCTACATCTGGTTACTACGCGCTCTTCGTTTTGGAACCTTGGTGCTCTTTTAACCTCAAAACGGCTTTGTTGAATTTCAAAGCGAGGCAAGTGTGCGAAAGCCTAGGCGTGAGGACTTGGATCGCTCAAACTGTATCGTCGAACTGTCACGAAGAAAACGAGGTGGAAAATGCAGTTCGCAAATTTCCTCGCAACAATAGGTTGACCACCCTCACCTCCACTCCCTCTCATCTCCCATCCCATCCTCTGCGTAGCCCTATGTTCTCTCACAGATTACATCCTGATATAAAGGCGTGTCCTCTACCTTGCACGAACTGGGATCCGCACTAAACGATAGAGCACTCTGCTGGCTTTCCAACGAGCCGTCAAACACACGATTCGCCCAAGTAACGAGGGAGTTCCAGGCGTTTATGTGCTTGCTAGTGCTCTTAGAACAAAGGATAGGAGCTCTCTGGATTTTGTAGTCGAATGTATCACTTACAAAGTGATTCTCAATTTCAGTATGAAACATGCAATACAAAGCAACTAGTTTTATAGCATGCAATCAACATCGAACCGCGTTCGTAACATCGCATCGCTACACTTCGCGAATGTTCGCGTAACATTTCGAAGGGGTGAAATTCGACACTCGAATTTCACTCATTCGAATGTTCCTTCAAGTCCTGAACTTTATGGTGCTGCCATGTGGCACCGAATTTTTTGGTCTTCCGAAGTCAAACTTCAGCTCCACGCAAATTTGCAGCTCACTCGAAGGTGAGCTTCCTTCGGTGGTTGGGGGCAAACCTCCCCCCCCCACGCAACCTCCAACACTCCCCCTTGCACCCAAGCCACTAGAAGTTCAATCCAACACGCTCACAGCATGCACGGAATGAATCCTTAGGGAGTGGTTTGGTGAGGAAGTCCGCGGGTTGAGCTTTGGTGCTTACATAAGTGAGTTTGACCTCACCCTTCTCAACCGCCTCACGAATGAAGTGATGCTTCACTTCGATATGCTTGGTTCGCCCGTGAAGGACGGCGTTGTGAGAGAGGCTTATGGCGGCTTGGTTGTCACAAAAGAGAGGAGTTGGGTTGGGTTGAGGATGCCCAAGCTCCGCTAGAAGATGCCGTAGCCAATTCGCCTCCATGGCACCTTGAGTGAGTGCCATATACTCCGCTTCCGTTGAGCTTAGAGCCACGGTTGGTTGCTTCTTGCTTTGCCAACTCACGGCTGCCCCAAGCAAGGTGAAGACGTACCCGGAGGTACTCTTGCGCGTGCTCGGATCTCCCGCGTAGTCCGAGTCGGCATAGCCCTTGATTTCAATTGGGCCGGCTTCATACACGAGCCCCAAGTTAGGTGTGCCTTGGAGGTAGCGTAGAACGCGTCCTCCCGCAGGCACGTGCTCGGTATGAGGGTTGCTCACGACTCGTCCAAGCACCCCGGCGGCGTATGCGAGGTCGGGACGAGTAGAAACGGCGGCATACATGAGCGAGCCCACTAGCGAATGAAACCGCTTCCCTTCGGCTTCATCGAGGGTGGATTCTTCCTCTCCCGTGAGGCAAGAAAATCCCGTAGCTAGTGGTGTTCCCACCGGTTTGCTATTGCCCATGCCGAAGCTCTCCACTACCCCCTTCACATACTTCTCTTGGTGGAGGTGGATGGTCCCGTTGGCTCGGTCACGGTCGACGTGCATCCCAAGGTAGTATATGACCGGCCCCAAGTCCCTCATTGCAAACTCCGCCCCTAGCCGTTGCTTGACCTCCCAAATGAGGTCTTTGGAGTCGGAGAAGAGGAGTAAGTCATCGACGTAGAGCAAAAGCACCAATTGCTTCTCCCCCTCCTTCAACACGTACAAAGCGCTATCGCACTCGCTACGCGCGAAGCCGTGTTGAAGAAGAAAGTCGTCGATACGTTTGTACCATCCGCGTGGACTTAGCTTCAAGCCTTAGAGGGTACGCTTGAGCTTCCACACCCTTCCGCTACCGTCATCGATCACGGGGGTTGCCGCATGTAGACTTCTTCCATAAGAAGCCCGTAGAGGAAGGCGGTGCAAACGTCCAATTGCTCCACCTCGAGGTTGAGGGATGCCGTTAGCGCGAGCAGCACCCGAAGAGTTGTAGCCTTAGCGACGGGAGCGAAAGTCTCGCTATAGGGTTCCCCTACCGTTGAGTGTATCCTTGAGCTACAAGCCACGCCTTGTAGCGTTCGACACTCCCATCGGCTCCCAACTTCTTCTTTAGCACCTACTTGCATCCCACCAAGTAGGCATCTTTCGGCGGGTCGACGAGCTCTAACACGTCGTTCTCTTTGATCGAGGCTAGCTCCTTCTCCATTGCTTGCTTCTATAGCGGTGCATCCGGAGAAGCCAAAGCCTCCGTGTGGGTGCGAGGGTCATCTCCCATGGTTGCGAAGCAATATGCCGCACGCTCCTCATCCAACTCCCCAACGGCTACCGTAGCGTGGTCGGTTACACGAGTTGGGGCGAGGTGTACGACGCCCACGGGTCAACGCCAATGGTAGGGAAGAAGGTGCGGAGGAAGTTGCCTCCTCGGTTGGTGGCACCTCCATGACATCATCATCGTACTCCTCGTTTTTCCCCCTTCCATTCTCGGCTTCCTTCTCCACTTGAGATGGAACCTCCACCGCTTCATCCTCCTCTCGTGCGGGGAGTACGACGGTGAGTTGCGGCGTTGGTTGTTCCTTCGTCGGAAACTTGTCTTCGTCGAAGACCACATCTCGAGATGTGATGACGCGCCTTTCACCCAAGTCCCACACTCGCCACGCACGCTCGTTCGCCGCAATTCCCAAGTAGATCGCCGCACGCGCCTTCGGTTGCAACTTGTGGCGAAGGGGATCCGGTACATGGTAGTAGCAAAGGCACCCAAAGGTGCGTAGGCGGGATAGGTTCGGCTTCGTTCCGGTCCATGCTTCGAACGGAGTCGTTCCCGGGAGCACCTTGGTCGGCAAACGGTTGCGAACCCACGCCGCTAGCGCACTCACTTCTCCCCACCACTCGTTCCCAAACTTGGAGTGTTGAAGTAGTGAACGAACGGCTTCCACCAACGTGCGATTAAGCCGCTCTGCTGCTCCATTTTGTTGGGGTGTGTAGGGTGTTGTGACGTCGTGCTTAATGCCCTTGCTCTTCATCCATTTCTCAAGCTCGTTGTTCACGAATTCGCCACCACCATCGGTGCGAATAACCTTGATCCGCTTCTTGACGACGTCGCAAACTTCAAGCGCCCACTCTTGAATCGCTTTAGCCGCATCACTCTTAGCCTTCAAGAGTCGGGTCCAACACATCCGCGTCGCGTCGTCGAGCATCACCAAGAGGAACCGCGCTCCTCCCTTTGATGCATGCCGCATCGGTCCACACACGTCCATGTGAACAAGCGCAAGCGGGTCCTTAGCGAGAGGTGAGGTACGGCTACCGAATGGCTTGTGAGCCATTTTTCCTTCGACACACGCCACGCACACGCCCTTCTCGTCGTCGCCGGCGATCACGTCGACTCCCTTCGCAAGGCCTTTGTTGGCCAACTCCTTGATCGACTCGTAGTTGGCGTGCGCAAGGCGATTATGCCACGCCTTGAGAGTTGCCTTGGACCCTTGCACTACGTTGGATGAAGCCGTTCTCGGGTGCGTCTTGAGTTGGTAGAGTTCTCCGTTGAGAACGCCTTGTGCGAATTGCTTCCCCTTCCAGAAGAGGTTCATCTTCGCACCGTCGATGGTGACCTTCACGTCCTTCTTCGCGAGTTGAGTGACGGAGAGTAGATTCACCTTCAAACCCGGGACGTGAAGCACGTTTGTGATGTCTACCGGTCTGCCATCGACGATGAGACGCGTACTCCCAACTCCGACCACCGGTAGCGACTTGCCGTTTCCAAAGACGGTGCGCGTGACGTCTCTCGGTGCACCAACGTTGATGAGGAACGATGCTGAGTGCGTCATATGTTGTGTTGCGCCGGTGTCAAGGAACCACGCGTCACTTGGAGTGTTGATCCCGTCATCGGCCAATAACACGATCGACTCCCTTGTATCATCCGCCTCGCCGGATGCCGTGTGCGCGTTGCCCTCTTGGTTCCGCGCCTTCGATGGAGTCGAATCGCTCGGGCGCTTCCGACACTCTCGCCAAAAGTGTCCCGCTTTGCCGCAATAGTGGCACTTGCTCGCGCCGTTTGATGTGTTCCCCTTGCCGCGATCGCTTCCACCGTACGACTTCTTCGTCGCACCCTTGCTCCACTTGGACTTTCCTCCGGAACTCCCTCCGGAGAACATGGCGGTCTCCACGCTCTCATTAGCGAATTGTCGGCGACGCGATTCCTCATGGAGAAGCCGACCGACCACCGTTTCCTTTGTCCAAGTGTCTTGCACGCTATCGAGTGTCATTACCACCGTCGACCACTCTTCCGGAAGGTCGCAAAGCAAGGTCAAAATCCAATCCTCCTCCGTGACCATTCCATTGAGATCTACGAACATTTTCCCGAGTTCCTCCACACGAGTCGCATACTCGTGCATCGATTCGCCCGCGCGCAACTTCACCGTGTAGAACACATTCCGGGCTAGGATCTTGCCGTGGAGAGTCTTGTTCATGTGAATCGTCTCGAGCCGCTTCCACGCTTCATCCGCCGACGCTTCGAGCTTGATGCACGTGCGCACCGAGCTGACAAGGTTGATGCCGATGCGCGAGATTAGCGGAGCGAACGCCTTTTGGTCCTTCTTCTTCCATGCTGCAATCTTGTCCTCTTTGTCCGGCTTCTTCTCCGTTCCATCGAAGAGACCCCAAAGTCCCCGCTCCATCATGAGCACTTGGAACTTAAATTTTCACGCGGAGTAGGTTTGTCCCGTGAAAATCGGAACCTCCGACGTGTCGAACACTGTCGCGTTTGTCCAGAGTTCGCCGGGATTAGTGACGACACCGTCCAGGGAAGTGCGTGAGGCTTCGCTTGAAGTCGGCATGCTTGTTTCTCGTCGCGCGCGTAGACTCCTCCGACCAGCTCTGATACCACTGATTTAAAGGCGTGTCCTCTACCTTGCAGGAACTGGGATCTGCACCAAACGATAGAGCACTCTGCTGGCTTTCCAACGAGCCGTCAAACACACGATTCGCCCAAGTAACGAGGGAGTTCTATGCGTTTATGTGCTTGCTAGTGCTCTTAGAACAAAGGATAGGAGGTGGAAAATGCAGTTCGCAAATTTCCTTGCAACAATAGGTTGACCACCCTCACCTCCACTCCCTCTCATCTCCCATCCCATCCTCTGCGTAGCCTTCTGTTCTCTCACAGATTACATCCCTCCATAGCTCCGCGCCGCGTTTTACGATACGTAGTGTGCGCATGTCATTCATAGGCGGCAAAGCAACGCACCTCTGTCCCTGCCCTTTCGTATACGTTGCCAGCTCCTGTTTTGGCTTTTAATTCCTATGTTCCTGCCATTCTCTCCTCCTGTAACAGCCTTGCCCTTATAACCAACGGGCTGCAGGCTTAAAATAATATAGTTTATAAAGTTGCAATACAAGATCTTGAAATTACAAGAAATACTCTACGTAATAGTAACCACTTGGTAGAAGGCGCGGAGCTCTTGAGTAGAAGATTTGTAGAAGTAAAATCAAAGGTTTCAGCCAAGCTAAGCCTTGGTTGAATAGCTCGTCACATGTGAGAGCTAGGCTTGCTAGAGTTGTGAGGAGAATAGAAAAGACTTGGACAAAATCCCATTTCCAATATTGAATTGTTGGAAGTTGGAATGGGAAGAATGAGCTGTTGGCTCAGACCCCTTCCAATACCTTCTTGGGGAGCTTCTCCTCCTCCATGGCCACAAGGTGGAGGAGCTCCTAAGGTGGGGTTGCTTAGATGGCAAGGAAATATGCCAATGAACATTGAGCACCTTCACACATTTGCAAGATAAGGTGTAACAACAAGGCTGCACAATTCTGGTTGGTGGAATTCCAACCAATGTAAGGGTTGGAAAGTTTTCCAACCTGGTTTGTCCTTTTGTAGTGGTTGGTTACAAATGTTACCCAACCCAACCACTCTAGCTTCCCTGCACACAATTCCCCTCGACACTTTTTAGCTAGCGTAGGTCGCGCTTAGCTCAGTTAGGTGATTAGGGAAAAAGGGAGCTGCAGACTAGGTGATACGTTACACCTCCCGTCGTTCTTGTGATCGTATGACTCCCTATCCCTCTAGACCGCAGAGGAAGGGATACAGTCCTTCGTTTCCCGTGCACCCAGCGACACCTGGACTATTCTCTTTTGTGCGACTCAAAGTGTCTCATTGTGAAAGCTTGCTACTTGTCTTGCAAATGCAACGTCTCATTTCAACTGCAAATGCAACGTCTCATTTCAACTGGCAAGTACAAGATTTTTTATCGTCCAAGCATTTTACATGATAAAAACGATGAATTCTCTACTAGACTAGGGTGGGAGGGTGGGGAACTTGAAAACTGAAAGTTTGAAATGAAAAACGTGGGTGAAGGCCAAATGGCCTTCGCCCCCTCTTTTATACCGAAAAAGAGGGGAAGTAGCGGTTCGCCGAAGCATTTTGCTTCGGTACAAATATCTTCGCTATTCACAATACACAATTTTAGAAAGTGTTACACACTTTCAAAAATTTACATATTGTGAAAGCTTGCTATTTGTCTTTGCAAATGCAACGTCTCATTTCAACTGGGTTTTCTGAGACATGGTGAGTGCTTGTTGGCGGTGTCGAGTAAGGGCACGCTCATGCTGCGAGGGGGACGGAACGTGCGCCTGATCGTGAAGGCGCCGCGACGCAGCAAGGAGGTGATCCAGTGAGATGGTGACATAAAGGTCCTTCGCGGTTTCGCTCCGCCATCGCCCCAGTCTTTTGAAAAGGCGGTCCGGGATGCCCGTACTCGCTGCAACTGTTGCTGCCCCTTTGCGGAATGAATGGGTGCCGAGGTTTGTAGGGTCGATGCCGGCTGCTTGGAATGCCTGCAAGCACCACGTGCGGACAGTGGGGTATGATGGGGCGGTATCCTGCGAGGATGGCGGGAAGTTGCGTCGAAAAATACGAATCAATGGGCCCTTGGTCTTTGGCCCGTACTGTGCCAGCTTGATGAAGTGCCTGGTGCACCGCACGGGGCAGAATGGTCCGTCAGTCGCGGCAACGGGGACCCATACGCCCTTGCTCTCCTGATCGGTTTTTGAGTGTGGAATTAGGAGCCACATTGCCGTAGCCTCGAACTGGATGTCCTCCCACTGGATTGATACCAGGTCCGAGAAGCGAAGGAAGGCCGAGTACATGAGCAGCACGATGAGGCCCTTCTGGTAGGTGTCGGGTTCGCTTGACTGGAGAAAAGGCCCCGCCATTGCCTGGACTTGATGGAGGGAGACGGGCTCTTTCACTCGTGTAGGCCGAGGGCAGTGTCGTTTGGCGTACTCTCGGACTTGCGTTGTGAACGGGCCGTTCGCTGGGTTGGCTGACCCTGTCATGCGATGGGCAAAGCTGACTGCAGCGCATGTGAGCTGTACGCTGGAGACTGTGGCCTGGTGGTTGATTGCGTGCACTAAGTAGAGTGCAAGCGTGAGATTTGCAGCAGGCAAGAAAACCACTTTGGCCTTCATGCAAAAGCTGCGAAACTTCTCCCAGTACGGTTCGTATGTGTTGATTGTTGATTCCGATCGTGTCTTGGCTGTCATAAGAAGTAGCTGGTGATGCAACCTTGGAAGCATATCTGTAATCATAGGATACAAGAATGGTACATCAAGGTTTGTAATTGACTTTCAGTGCTAGAATACGACTGACTGGAAGACCAGCACCCGAGAATGCATGTTCATGGGAGCCCACATGCAAGCATTGACTACCACTAGCAAGGTAGAGGATGGAGGAGATGCCGATTGCCCAGGTGTGTGGGGAGGGTTTGATTAGGGGCCACCAAGCAGCGCCTGTCCATTCGGGAACGACTAGTGTCATCGTGGCGTTCGTGCGTGCGGCATGGTGCAGGGTTGCTGGGATGAGGTTCGGTGGCGGGAACACGAAGCAGTGCTCTAATCCCCAATCGAGCGAGAATGCATTTATGGCAGTTGCACGTGGGTGCGGATGTTTAGCGCAGAAGCGCGGGAGCTGTGCGTTGTTGGCATTGGCGAATAGGTCGATGGTGTGTGATCCCCAACGCCTTTCCAATAATCGAAACCAGGGGAGCTTGAGCGAGTAGTCGTCGTGGTCTTCCAATTTGGACAGTGCATCTGCATGCGCATTGAGGGCATGTGGAATCCATTCGACGGCCAGCCGGGTTTCGTGCGCCATGCAAATTGCGACGATGGCCTTGCACAGAAGAGTGAGCTCAGGCTGGCGAGAGCCGCCTTTGCGCAGAATGAAGAAGACGCCTTGGTTGTCTACTCGCATGAGTACGCGGCGACCTTGGATCTGGTCCTTGAACGTCTGCAGTGCCCATAGCACTCCCTCGAGCTCTCGGCGTGTGCTCGATGTGGAGAGAAGTTCTTTTGGCATGGGGCTGCTTCCTTGCGAGCTTCCGCCGGGGAAGGATGAAAGGGTTGCACCCCAACTGTGTGCGCTAGCGTCGACGTGAATGACTGTATCCAGACTGTGGGGCATGTGAAACGGGGCCCCGTTAAAACGGTCAAAGTGGTCAAGCCAAAATTGTAGCTCGTCGCAAACTTCCGAGGTCAGGGTCACTCGTGCATTCCATGATGGCGCCTCATTAATGAGTGTCAAAAGTTGATGGCTGAAAGAGCGTGCCGTCGCACCAAGGGCGAGCGCCATGGATGCAACGATGCCAGTGACGCGGGCGACGAGGCGAATTGATACCCGCTGGTTGCGCTCGTAGGCGAGAAGCAGCACATGTAGTGCTTGTGTGAGTTGCGCCTTTCTCTCCTGGCCGATAGTGAATCTCCCGGATGCGGTGTCCAGCTCCATTCCGAGGAAGTGCAATTTTTGAGTCGCGATCAGGTGCGACTTTTTTGCGTTGATGACGAGCCCCGACTCCTTGAGGTCTCGAATGACTGCACCACTTTTCAAACGAGCGTCCTGTTCCGAGTCGCAAAGGAACAATATATCGTCCACATAGGGTATGACCCGAATGCCTTGCGCTCGCCATTTCCGTGCCAACTGCTTGATCAACTGGGTGAACAGGAAGGGCGCTGTAGCGAGGCCGAACGGCAACGACTTGAAAACATAGTCGGTGCCTTCAAAGTGAAAACCTAGAAATGACCAGCAAGATGAGTGAATATCCATGTGATGATAGCCAGACTTTAAGTCAACCGAGAACATCCAGTCGCCAGTTCAGCGACACGAAGAAGTCCTTCGTACTTGAATTTGGGGACAATTAGGTATTGATTGACCTTTCGCAAGTCGAGAATGAGGCGGCACTTGTTGCGTTGTTCCACAACGTTGAGTGGGCTGATGCATGTAACGGCCGATGAGCTAGATGCAACTGCTGCTGCTCCTGACGTGAGCAATTCCTGAATTGCCGATCGGGTGAAGTCGGTGTGCTTCAAGACTCCGGCGTGATTTTGATCAAGGAACGGCGGTGGTGAGAATGCCTTCCAAGGAAGCCAATATCCATTGACAATGACCGACAGGATCAAGGAGCTCTCGCACCAGGAAGCCCACCAAGCGAACGCCTGTCGGAGGCGACCACCCATGGTTGTGACATCACGATCGGTGACTGCATTTGCCAAGATCTCGTCCTGCTCCCCGGACCATGAGGGCGTGGCGGCTGCCATGGGGTGTTTGGTTGCGGGATGGCAGAGGTACAGGATCGAACCATGGCGTTAAATTGCGTGATATGTATCAGCGCGCACGTATGAGCAGGTAATT